ATACGCACATTATTCAATCTTTAAAAACGGAAATTTCAACTGATGTTACAACAGAGGTGAGCCTTGATATAAGTGAAACATAAAGAGACAACTGTTTTATGATTTCACTTTTGTGAGATAACTTAAAGTGATCAAATCATAGAGACAAACAGTTGAATGGTAATTTTTAGGGCCTGGAAAAAGGGGAATGGGAAGTTAATTTTTAATGGTGATATATTTTGACTTGTTTTTTCTCGTACCTGGGATCAAATTCATGACTTTGTGTTTGCCAGGTAGGGGCAACACCACTGAGCTACTACATCCCTGGTCCTAGACTTTGACTTTTACAAGATGAAGAGTTCTAGTGATATATGATTGTAATTTTGCTCAAAATGATAAAAACACATAGTACTACTAAACTGTATTATATGAATGGTCATAGGGATACATTTTACGTTATGTGTATTTTAGTGCAACTAAAATTTGGAAATTAAAAAATATAATTTCTGTTTGGTCTGCAATCAACTCCCACAGTTTCTTCTACTACCTTAAGTCAGGGACATTTCTCTAGTTATGCAACAGCAGAAAAGCCAGGAGGTAGGGTATAAGAGTTATAAAATATATTCGAGGAGGAAAATATACATGTTTATGCAGGAAAATTGATGAAAAAATGATGAGGTGAAGGAAAGTAAGACTGAATTTCAGACGTAGACTTAAATTATATTCTGAATTGTACAGAAATACACATTTGTTCCTGTGAGCTCTCAAAGTACATCATGTGTACAAAACTAGTATCTAGTCCATTCTCTCTTATTTTTATTTTGATCATATATAGATGCCTTCCCTGCTTGATGATAAAGATAAGCATGTTTTAGTTTTATTTTTTTGAGACAGGGTCTCACTTTATAATTCAGATTGGCATTGAACTCACTTTGCTCTCCAGTCTGGCTCCAACTTGCGGTGGTCCTCCTGAATCAACCTCCGGAGTGCTGGGATTACACGTGTGTATTGGCATTCCCATCTTAGCCATGTTGTATTAACCTTTGAAAGAAAAGAATGTTTTACTTATATCAACTCCCTAGAATATGATACACTATATTCCACATGGTTAAAAAACAAACAAACAAACAGAGGAATATTGCAAACTCTGCAAGACTGTTTGTCATGGCTGTCTTTGTTACTTCACTTTCTCCTGCTTGAGACACAATACCTCATATCAACACCTTAAAGGAGGAAATGTTTATTTTGGATCATGGTTGCAGTCCATGGACAGCAGGCTTTAAGGTAGAAATAGCATCTGGGAAAAAGATGCTCACATGGAAACCAGAAAGCAGAGGGAGCAGGGAGGAGCCTGGTAGGGGATAAATCATTACAGGCTATGCCCCAGTGACCCACCTCTTCCTATCCACCCCACCTCCTAAAAGCAAGTCAACCAGGTAGACCCACAATTCAGTCATCTTCCAAATGCCTTGTCTATGGTCCTCTGAGGTCTTTGCTCTTCAATAAATGACAGCAATGGCTGACATGGATAGGCCAAATAGGTCCAGGCAGTAAAGGTTATGGATGTTTACATGCATGACACAAATTAGAAAAGGTGCCCATTAGCAGCCAAACAGGAAAAATGGATGCTTCGGAATGATTTTACAATACGTTTTTCTAAATGTCTATTTTACGATGAAAGTATATACCTTTAAAGGGCCAGAGATTTAGCTCAGTGGTTCTACCTCCTGCTTTGCAAGCTCAAGGACCTGAGTTCGATCCCTGGTACAAAAAAAAAAAAATGTTAAAGTATATGCCTTTAAGCTTCTATTAAAAATAAACATTTAAATACTTACCTTACAGGGTAGATGCCATGATCACAGAGGTGGTTTTCCCAGGGTGAGGCGTATCCATTGCACTCCAGATGAGCTGACCTATGCGATTTCCCCGAATGTGAGAAACTCAACTGTATAATTTGTGGTAGTGGGGGACTGCGTTCACACTCTCCCCTGAAAAAATAAAAATGAAAATAAATATTTAAATTTGATGTTTAACATAATAAGACCAACCAAGTTATAGCATGAAAATAAAAGTAACAGGTAAGGTAGGGGGTGTAGTCTTAGTTGTGAGGAGGTAATCGTGGAAAAGATACTACAAGAGAATAAGAAGATACATGAGATTATTAAATGCAAAAAATGATGGGTTTTATCTGTCTATATTCTTTTATTTCTGATATTTTCATGATATCAAGTCTGGATTTGTAAAAAGGAACTTGGTGATAAAGGGAAAATTCCACACCCTAATTTTTCAAGTTAGAATAAGTTAAAGAATGTAAAATAATTTAAATATTTTGGGCTTTCAGGTAATGTAATGGACATTGCAGACACAAATTACAGAATGTCATCAGAGCGAAACCAATATAATTTCAGTTCTTCAATTAAGCAATTTCAAAGTCGGGCATACAATCCTGTTTGTTAAGTATGACCCAGCAAATTTAACCTGTTGCTTCAGAAAAAAAATTGCTTTTAGAATACTGTAAAAGCACTAATAAAGGAAGCTTATACATTAAAAAGTGTTTAAGGATGTTTTTTGCTCTCTGATCACCAATCTCAGGCTACTAGGTCTAAAACTCTTCACAGTCACGGTGGACTGTGTCTTGCAGAACACATTAAAGTCAGCAGCCAATACAGGACCCCATCACAGCAAATGTAAAGCTCATTCAGGATGGCGTTCTCCCATATGGCATTACGTTGGATAAATGGTGTAAGTACATTAATTGATTGTTCTGGTTTTGTGATGATGTTGACTGTTAACACATTGGTTCAGCCTTTAAGGAACTCATAATGATTTAAAGACTGGCCTAAGTAGAAAAAATAACAGACAAGTGATGGAAAATTGTATGCAACATTGTTATTCTACTATGCTTCTTTGCAGATCCCTTGTCTACTCTTACATTTACTTATTGTAAATAGATGACCACATTTTATGCGTAGGGTGGAGCCTAAGACACCTATGATTGAGAATATATATTTACTGAAGTCAAGGAGAGTGTGAGTGATTTTAAGCAAATTAGAGAATAAGAAAAAGTGACAATAGAATAACTCAATGTAAACAAAATATTCAGATATACACAGATGTTTGTAAAAGCATCATGAAGAGTTAGTAAGTCAATCATAATTTAGAAAAGCATATGAAAAGGTCAGAATGATATATGCAAAATGATATATGTAAATGAACATGCCACATTTGGAAATATGAAAGCTCCTAATATTGTTGGAAGACATTAGATAAAGCATTCGCAAGCTATAGATTTTAAAAGGCAATGTATGGCGTCTTTAGAAATTGGCACAATGTCTTTTTTAATAATAATCGCTGGAGAATATAGACTGTGGAAAGACATTTCTTATCATATGGTAAGCTTATTTCTCTGGCAGCACTGTGAAGGATTATTTAGTGTGTGAGATTATAAGTAAAGTGACTAGGTGAAAAGCTACCACATCTAGAAGAGGGGTGGAGAGAGAGACGATGAGGAATTTAAGTTAATATAACTTAAACATTGATGAATCATTACATTAAAGTGTTCAAATTGAAGGAGCCACTTTCAGATCAGTATTAATAGCTGGTTGGTTGATGATTATTGTGCTACTTAATGAAACTACTAGTGATAGGCAATTATTTTCACAATATATTAGTCTTGAAACATTTCTGTACTCATTACGGACATATCAATCTTATGTGATAAATCAATAACATTGATCCATTCAAACACACACAGTTTTTTAATTTAACTGATTATATAGAAACTAATGGTCTTGCAAGGGTTTTTTTTTAATAATGATGAGAAATGGTGGCTATAAAAGTACTTGAAATAATTTATAAATGGTTTGTATGCCCTCAGTGGCCATGATTGTCCAATGTAAATAAGGTTTTTAACTTAAATCTATTGAAAAGATGAAATATAAAATACTCCAACCCAAGATATCCACTATATTAAGCTTTATTGACTGTTTTACACACTATGTGAAGTCTCATTGAGGTGGGAGAAAACCACTTTTGTTTCTACATTGTATTGGAAATATGCACTTATATATGATTAGATCAAGTACAGCCGTCATAACAAAGATTATTGAACTAAATGGGAAAGTAGGGTGATTGTTAGAGTATTACAGTGAAATGGAAACCAAAGAATGAATGCATACCAAAGAATGTTGACAGATAGGAAGTCTGTGATTTATTTTCATACTTACAATTTTTACAATAAGAATGATGAATGAAAACATCCTCATTCTTAGCAAGGAGGTCACTGGACCTGCCAGCCTCATTATGAGTGGATGTAAAAGAAGTTTAACATTCTCAGAGTAAAACCTTGTAAAATGTTTCTTGTTTTAGAATGTTGAGGGAAAGAATATTTTCACTATGATGCCTCTAGCAAGTGCACCAAACTAACTCTATGGGTAGCAGGGCTTCAGCTGTTTGATGTATCCATAGAAAGCATGAAACTATTACAAAACATTGAAAGCGTTAGTTTTTATTTTATTTTGGGGTATAGCTGGAAAGTCAGCATGCCTTGAATTGATAAGATGTGCCTATTCTATTAGTACAATTGATTTTTATTCATTGTTTTAAAACAGTTGTTCAGGTATGATGAGTCTAACAGGTAAGGAGATGGTGAAGCTGGAGGCTACTTTGTTAACCACAACCCCTGAGATTCAGGCACAAATCACTCTGTGGCAAGCTGTGCAGTAGCCCTCTAGGTTAAGTCTGGAGTCAGTGGGAGCCCAGGGGAAAACTCAAGCAAGATCTTCACTGTGGTTTCCATGGTAAGGGTATAGAAAGGGAAGCCAGCAGGTTAGAATGAACTACTTGGAATAACCTGCCAACCAGGCAGGGCAGGGGAACAACCGCGGCAGAGGAATAGTGGCTCTTGTGCAAGATCTCAAGTGCTGGCTTTAGGTTGGCTGCCTTGCATGTGCTGGTGAGTTTTTTCTTATCTCAAGGAATTGGCAGGGTAGACTCTTGGAGCTCAGCAAGGTCCCAAATATCAAAGCACAGAAAAGCAGAGACTACAAAAATCCAAGACTAACATACTCATTGAGGCTAAAACCTCTGTATTTTTTACCCATGAAAGAGGAGAATAAAACAACAACAATAGAGTTTGTTCTAATAGCAGGCACCAAACTGTTCATCTCATTAACTACAAGAGACTTTGGGACCAGCATTAAACTTCTTGGTAAAGCAAAGGGAGCCTGGGCACCAGAAAATTTATAATTGTCTTGGCTTTATTTTCCAAATACTTTTTAAAAGCCTCATTTAAAAAACTGTAATTAAGATAAAGGAATATTCCTTTTTCTGCTCACTTAATGGAGTAAGAATGTTGGCTAGCATTTAAAATTATCTGGGAAAAAATGGAAACAAAGTCTTTGTAAATAAGGGAGGGTGGAGGGGGTGAAGAGAGGGCAGTGGTATGGGGAAAAAAATGAGAAACAAGAACTGTCAGGTAAAGGTACAAGAAAAAAGATAAATGCACTTAAGGAAAGAATAAGAAGGATAAATTCTGAAAAATAAAATAAAATTATCTGGGAGAATGAGCACTTAGAAAGAAATTGAGTTTGCCCCGTTTAACTTCAAGGGATGTAACCCATAAGCTGCTTACAGCAGATGGAAATCTGTTTTACTGTATAGCAAATAATAATCTATTACAATGGACTTCTCCAAAGGAAATTATGACAGGTTGTCTTCTTGCACCAACAGAATTGTCCACCCAAAGGTGAAGTACCACCTTGATTGAGGCTTTCCAGCTAAGACAGGCTGCATACTTGATGCTCAGGTTGGGATTCAGAGGATTGTTTTACATTTTTGGCAATGATGTTTGGTTTTACTACAAAATAACTAAGATGTATGAAAATAAGTTTTATTTATATCTAGTAAGTATTCTAAAACTGTACTGTATTTCAGATCAAGAATGTGACCAGCTGAGAAGGTCTGCGTTTAGATGAAGCAAAAGTTGTAGAATATAACCATCTGGCTATTCAACAAGGGTCTACTGGATTCCAAATTATATTTTTTTATATTATTATTTATTACAGGTATAAAATGATCAATGTTCATTACAGCATCTGCAATTATCCCTGTAAAACTAGAAGTTCACTTTTAAATGTACATTTTAATGTGGTAGTTCCTTAAATAAAAATAGTTTGGTAGTCCTAGGGTTTTCACATCATGAACATATATCTTAACAGTGCACATTACAATTACAACCTAATCCTGGAGTCAATTAATAAATTGGTTGAAATAGCAGTTTGATTAAAATCTCAGGTGCACTAATTCGCTTTTCTTGTGCCCTTTAATTAAGGCTTTAATAGAGTCTGCAATTGTTTGCAATTTTTTCTTTGTCTTAAATATTTGTACTGCTTTCCTTAAATTTCAAAATTTCTTCAATTCATCGTAGCACTAGAACCAGTACTTTAAAAAATCAAGTTATAATATAAATAAAATAGCCATTTTTCATTCAATAAGACCAACAAGAACTATATGCTTTTAAAATGTACATTTTAATTTAATTTGGAGAATATGTATTTAGTTTCTCTTATGGGACTTTGCTGCCCATTTAAAAACATTATTTGTGTAGAATAAGGTTGTATTCTGTGGTCATTTTCAACTAAAAATTATTTTTTATCTAATTAAATTTGAATATAACATATTGACATTCAAATTTATATTTTCTGTGTTGAAGCTTTAAAGTTAAGAGCAAAATATGAAACTAACTCATCTCATTTTTTACTATTTTCTACACTTTCAGTCTGTATAAAGCATTGTTTCAAAGTGCTTTATATAAGTGTGGCACTCTACTTCAAACACAAGCAAACAAGTATACAGACTTCAGTCTCAGGGTCTTTTTTTAAATAAATAGGTATTTCCACATTAAAAATGGAAAAAATCTCATTCTATTTAATTGATTTCAAAAAACAACTCCCCTCCCACCTACCCACAAAAATGTTCTTTCAGCGAATTG